AAGTTTTACTTTAACATGTAATTAAAATTAGCAATGGTGAGATAGTACTAGGAAAATGTCATTAAATCCTGCTATTACAATATTCAATTTGTTTTATTAACTAGTAAAGTTTTCCCGCGCCTTCGCTCGCGTTATTTAAAGCCTTCTGCGTATGATGTAGCTTTTCGTAGGTGTACGGATTTTTAAAATAGTTCCAGTAATATCGGAGACTATTCAAAGCAAACAAACAATGAAATATTTCCTACTTATAATATTAGTAGATATAAATAGGTATTATTATTATTATTTTTTTATTTATTCGGTACACAAACAGAAATATAATTACATCAATAAATAAGTCATCACGTAACAATGCAGCATGTCAAGTTGCACTTCCAATGACATGTGTACACATCATGTGACAAAATCAAGGCAAACATAATTTTGAGTGGGTTCAAAATACATGCATAATTAAAAAATAAATTAATTAAATGATTAGCTTTCCTAATTTCATAATGAATATATATAATTATAATTAAAATCAATAAATTAAATAATAAAATACAATATCTGTCCTTCATTAAAGTCACGGCATATTCTATGTATTGGATTGTTAAATGACAAATTGTTGGCATCGAGCGGCACACTAAATAAGATCAAAGTTATTTTTGTTGGGTATATAAAACGCGTTAGATTAATAATATGTCATTGCGATATATAAAAAAAAACGTACCTTTTTGGTCCTAGCCTGTTTACTCCAACTAACAACAACGATCTTCTTTATTAAAAAAATAAATTAATCACTCAAAAACTGTATATTCCACAGAATCAACTTTAAATTGAACCAAAAAGTTTGTATTTTAATTTAAAAAAGAATTTATATTACTTTTTTAAAGAAGTTTTACTGCGATGGTTTTTTTTTTTAATAATCATAAAAGCTTTGCGTAAGGTGTACGTCTTATATGGTTCAAAGATTCAAACTGGGAACAGGTTTAACCCATATAATTTTCTTGTTTACATATTTTGTGATACAGTATAGAAATATACAGTAGGGAAAATTCATAAGCCAATTAATTTCATAGGCCAATTAATTTTTCTACTGCTAGTGCACCGGTTTTCTTTATGAATGGAGTCAACTAAAGGGCCATAACCAGTCATTCGGTCCCAGTGCGGATCGGTGAGTGTTAACGATCGCAGATGCAGCCGAACCAACGACTGAAGTCTTCAGAAGCACGGAGTAGCTCGAGATAGCTAAAGTTTGGTCACTTGTCCTGTAGCTTTTATAATGTATGTATACTAAGGATGGGTCGAGCGAGTGCAGCGTGTCCCTTACAACAGCAACTAAAGATACTATAAGTGCGTTAACTATGACTAAACATACCTTAGTACTAGCCCAGTAGCTCCTTACGTACGTTTTGTCGCTTAATTTTTTTTTATAAAGATGAGCTGGCTTTGGATGTAATTATGCGCACTGGAACCAACCCATGTTTATTTTTAACCTTTCAATCATCAGACTTTTTGCAGAGTGAAATCATAATACTTTCAAAATCTTATGTTGGCTGAAGACTTTTGGATTTATTCAGAGTGTGGATAGGAAAAGAAATACAGCACAAATAAACAGGTTGACTAAATTGAATGAAACAAATCTTTTTATTTGGTCAATATTGTATTTACCAATACACCGGAACTGGCAAGTTTTTTTTTATAATATTGCTTTAAAAATAATGTTATTTGTAATATTTTTTTATTTCTTTTTTAATCTTTAATATTCTTAGTTCATTTATTTTTGTTTTATAACATTGGTAACCATATAGCTAAATGAAATGCTTACTTATTTTATAAATTCATCATCATTATCATCATTGGCAGTAGCCTGAATAAAGCTTAATATGTTTTAATAAAAGATAAATCGGTCAGCCATCCTGTAACCGACCTATCCGAATATTGCATATCGTTGGCAATCGCCGAACGACCCGATAGTAGCGTCATCGGATTATTTCAAATGATTTTAATATCATATAAAATATTTATTAAAGTTATGTAACTAATTAGCGTGATTATTACCTTTTGCATAACCGGATTCAATTAGCAGAAACCAGTATTTGTCGGTATTATAATTTTTTCCTGCAGGTTACTCTAATAACATGTTTTGAACTGTATTAATTAATACGAGATCTAATTAGCTTACAAAGAAACAAAAATTTGTATTAATTTATCAAAATAGACGAGTTACGAAAAAATATATTCGTTATTAGTTGTTTTCCCGCGATTTTGCCTACGTAAATTATAGAATTTGTCATCCGCGTATGATGCAGCTTCCGGTAGATAAAATAATGTTTTAAGTCGGTCTTATAAAACATCTTCTTTTTTATAATACCTAGTCTAGCCGTAAGTTCTGTACCAAAGATAATATCCGATAATTTGTAAAAAAATAATTTTATTATAAAGTTTCATATGTGATTGATTATGTAGAGTGAAAAAGATATGTTAACATACTAAATTAGTTATTCAAAGTGTCCACCCTTAGCTTTAACGCACCCTTTTAAACGATCGGGCCATTCGTCGATGGAGTTACGAACGGTTTCCATTGGAAACTTGGTCACTGGTGCCTCTAATGATTATTGAGCGACTCAATATTTGGGTGACGCTTGGAGCAGGCCATGTCCTCTAGCGTTGAATTTATAGTCCAAAGGGTTTAGGTCCGGACTAGCCGAAGGCCAATCATCAGCTTTTATGAAGTCTGGAATATTTTGCGAGCCAAATTTGGGTAGTGCGCGCCTTATGACCCGCGGCAGAATCTTGTCTACACTTCGTTTTTGAATAAGGTGTTGTTGAGAGTTTTAATTACCCTTCTAACACGGTATCTTGATACACTTTGGATGAAGTTTTCACTCCTTTTCGCAAAAATGGAGTTTTGTAACCCCTCGGTAAGACACACCTCGACAAACCATGACGAAAGCTGGATGATGACCTCACTGACCTTTGTTGTCATCAACAGACATGGTTTTAGTATATGGTACCTTATGGTACCCCATGGTACCTTTGGATGGTACGATACACAATCTTTCGGCGGCCCTAGCTTTTTCAATGTATCAAAAATGTCGGCTGGTTCCTATCCTACTTTGTACAGTGCAATTTCTGCAATCCTCTTTAGTGCCCCACTCCATTTTCAAAACAAATAATTCATAAACAAAAAACATATAATAATGGCGGGAAAGAAGTTTATTTTTTTTGTGGAAGCTAATGTTCGAAATCCAAGTTAATGTTTTTTAAAATGTATGTAAACAGCCAGTAAAAGAATATATGGCTAGACTAGTTACAATAATACGGAAGAACTTTAGAAATGTCATGGATGTTTTGTAGAACATATTATTTATTCGACTGATTAGCTTACATATACACATATACTAATGCTTACGGAAATACGAAATAACAGTTTACCAATTTGATTGATTTGATCTAATCAAAATAATTTATTTCAGTCTATACTCCATTCATTATAGCATTAGACAGAAGTTAAATAAGGTTCTTTTTATGGTATAATTTGTGACAAAATATAAATAATCATGTTAATCTTAAGACTGACGGCTAATTTACTACATATCCACTTAAATACCAGCTGCTATACTTAACTGTTGTCATTTAAGCTATCTATTAAACAAATTTATGAGTATATGACTACCTTAAATGATTTAACAATTACAATAAAAAGTGTTCATCGTAAAGAACCTAAAGAAGCAGGGTTGGATAGTTAGATTCTCATGTCACTATAACTCTACCAAATTTAAAACTGCCTAACCCCTTCAAACGTTTCGGCAGAACAGCTTTTTAATTTTGTCAGACTATATTTATTCATAATTGTTAAAATCGTAATCTGGGATTGTCATCCATTGTGAATGCTACTGCCTTTGTTGTAGTTTTGCCGTTTTCCGTGATTCAGTTGTTATTTATTTTTTTTGTTTCGTTTTTGTTGTTAAGTTTTGTTAAATATAGACGATGCCAGTGCAGGCCCGAGTGGCCTACAAAAATTATGCTCTAAGCCCCCATACCTTTGACATTTCAGGAAGCTTTTCCAATGTCTTCATGAATACTCTAACTAATAACACTTCCAATTAGAATTTATCAAAACAACAGACAGTTATTTTTAGTTTTAGTTCCATGTTGGCTTCGGAGTAAAAGATGAATTTATAAAATGCTGGCCTCATCTCAACCCCGAGGTATCGTAAAAAATGAAAAATTGCCCAGCTCTTTCAGACTACCTAACGTTCAAAATTTTAACAAACCTTATATATATATTTTTTTAATTTTCTTGAAAATAAAATGTTCTGTACTGCTGCTTCTATGACCCTCTTTTTTCTAATGTTATAATGAATGGAGAATAGGCTGTTAAAAGCACTTGTGAAAGTCGAAACTCTATGCCATCGGTTCGGAAACCTACGGCGGGAGACTTTGTATCGAGAAGAACTGGCAAGGGCTGTTCTTTTTTCAAGATTTGATACAAGATCAAGCTTTAAACAAAATGGAGTTCAGTGGAGATCGCCGAGATTGACAGTTCAAAAATTACGTGCCAATGTTATAAAATACGAATATGCGTTTTTGACAAATTGGAGTTGCTCACTTTTTAAGATGATTACGACTTTAGATTGTCAGTTGAGTTAGTGAATTTACCCTAGATTAGACTACTACGCCATCTATAAAATTATGATATGGAAGTATTTTATGAAAAAAAGAAAGTACCAAAAAAGTACCTCCACTAGATGGCGACTCTAGCAAAAGTTGATTTTTGCAGGAAACGAATGGACTAAAGACAGTCACTTCCGCTCCTTTTAACTAACATATTAGAAAAATTAAATTTAAAAAGTTCGAAACTTAGATATCAATACAGATACGAAAAAGTACAAATAGAATATGAGTTGTTTATTGAGTATTGAAGATTAATTTACTTTTATACATCAAACAAAATCGGTTTTTTTTATGGAATAGGGGGCAGTCGAGCAGACGGATCACCTGATGGTGAATGATTACCGCTGCCCATGGACACCTGCAACACCAGAGGAGCTACAAACGCGCTGCCGGCCTTTGAGGGACGAATAAGCTCTATGCTTGAAAGTTTGAAGGTCGTATCGGTCCGGAAATACCGCTGGCGACAAACTGTTCCAGGCTGTGCGAGGCAGAAAACTTATAGAAAAACGCACAGTTGAGGACTTCCAACCATTCAGATGATGGGCGTGGATTTCTTGTCGCGTGGAACGATGGCGGAAAGTAGCGGCAGGTATGAGTCCAAACAATTCTTCGGAGCATTCCCCGTAATAGATGCGATAGAAGATGCACAGTGAAGCAACATCTCTACGCAGGGCCAGTGGATCAAGTCGACTTGAAGTGTCCCGGCAATCGACGATTCGAATCGCTCTCCGCTGAATGCGGTCTAGAGGGAGAACCTGATATTGGGGTGCACCTGACCAAAGATGAGAACAGTATTCCATATGGGGCCGAACCTGCGCCTTGTAAAGCTGCAGGCGATGCGCCGGAGTGAAATAATGCCTCGATCTATTAGGCACACCAAGCTGCTTAGATGATAATTTAGCTTTACCCTCAAAGTGACCACGGAACTGCACCACGCTCGATATGTCGACACCGTGAATCTCAATATTGGCTGAGGCAGTTAGACAAAAGGGGCTCTTTTGGTGGTGAACGCGCAAACCTGTGTAGTAGGGCTGAAGTGGACCAAATTTAGTCGACCCCAGTTAGAGACTTCCTCTAACGAAGATTCAATATCGGACACAAGTTGATTCCGGCTCTCAATGACGCTTTCCCGAGAAATATTAGCACGACCGTTATAGGTGGAGTCCTTCGTGCTGTCATCCGCAAAACAATGAATACCACTAATTTGCAGCATCTCATTAATATGCAGAAGAAAAAGTGTAGGTGATAGCACACATCCTTGGGGAACACCAGCATTTATAGACAGTAGGTCCGAGCATTCACCGGCGATTAAAACCTTAATGCTTCTCTCTGCCAAAAATCGAAATCCGAAATCCGTATTATTGGTCACTAAGCAACTGGTGATCCTCTAGGTACCGAAGGAGCTGGCGGTTGATAATGGACTCCATAATCTTTGAAAACAAAGGGGTTATAGCGATCGGCCGTTAGTTGGACGGGTTCGAGCGGTCACCTTTTTTTGGGATCGGATGCACTAAAGCAGTCTTCTATGAGGTTGGGACGACGCCCGATGAGTAAGAGAGCCGGAATAAGCGCGTTAAGACCGGTGCCAACTCCGGAGCGCACGTCCTTAGCATAATAGAGGGGATACCATCGGGCCCACTCGACTTGTGGATATCGAGGGAGAGTAGTGCTAGACGCACTGAGCTCTGGTGAAACCGGATATCTGGCATAGAGCTATTGCACCGCGGAATGGTGAGCGGTTTCAGCCCCCGGTCATCCAAAGTCGAGTTGGATGCAAAGAAGTTACCCAGGCTTTCTCTTTTGCATCATAGGCTAATGAGGAGTTGTCTTTGTGCAAGGGTGGAAATGAAGGCGTGCAGAAATTACCTTGAATAGATTTGGAAAGAGCCCAGAAAGCACGCGTCCCCGAAGGAAGACGTTCATCAGCAACAGACTCGGCGGCATTGTTGGGATCATCCGGCGCAAAGCAGATACGTTTCCAAGGGTAGGATGCAAAAAAGGACCGCAACCCATCCCAGTCTGCCGACTTGTAATGCCGCACACGGCGACTACGTGCAACACGTGGTCGTTGCAAGCACGTGAGTGACACTGTACTCCTAATAAGGCTGTGGTCCGAGGAGCCAAGTGGAGCGTCAACAGATATCTGAATAACTTCATATATTCGTTATGGAGAAATTAAGAAAGTACCGTAGCGACATCTAGTTTGAATTCGGGAACTCATTTTTTTTAAAATACTTCCTCATTGTAAAGTGTAGTGCTATAAAAAATTTTTGGCACGATTTTAATAATATTATTAAATCATTGCAATAAAATATACCCAAATATTTACTACTGGCTATCCCAAATAGATACTATTTGGCGGTAACCTTCATTGATATTATAATTGATGATATTTGTGTCCTAAAAGTGAAAATACAGGTTTTTCTTATACGTTACAAAAAAAAAAAACATGTGCCATTAAATCAGTTACACAAAACGCAACAACTCTCATTTTAATAAATTATAGACGCAAAAATGGCAAATATATAACAAAGATTGACCAAAAGGCGTTTGTAGACGACGCGGGCTCGCAGAAAAAATAAAAGTCCGAAATACAAAAGAAAACGACGTAGTTTTTTTGAAGGGAAAAATTTTAATGTGTTTTGAAAAAGAGGAAAATGACAAAACAAAAAGAAAAAACCCGAGACGTCATTCGACTCGTGCTATCAATCCTCTGTGCTATCATTATTAAAAAAAAAATACATTTCAATAGTGCATCGCTAACGTTTTTCGCGATCGCCACAAACACAGCACCGAATCTCCGAAACTATTTATGTTGTTACTTGTACATTATTTTTCAGATTTCAATGGACTATTCATTTATAAAATAAAAAAGTAGTCAACTAGCCTAATGCTAATTAGAAATGCTATGACAACTTATATTCGTTATTATTAGAGGTCGAAATTAGGTAGAGTTATTTATGTACTTGCATCGAAATGTTGATATTAATGTGGACCTTCGTGGCAACATACTACGTACTAATATTTTGCAACTTTGGACATCCGATATCATTGTTGTAAGTTTGGCAACGTCGTGCGTGCAGTAGTTTAAATTGTGTAAAAGTAAATAACTTTTTATTTAAAAAATCACGGGATTTTTCCGCTCTTTAAAATTAATCTCGGGATTTGAGGCATATCCACTTTATTCTTTCGCTGTATGAAATCAGTGTAAGTACATGAATAACTCTACCTAATTCCGACCACTGGTTATTATGCATATTGCTTTAAACAAGGCTTTGTGGCTCATCCCCTCCTAAGAGTCCATCTTTGTTCTCACAGTCCTTTTATTAAGATTTGCAGCTTTCGTGATAATCTACCGTTTGTGTACTGTACACTAGTGACAGCAATTTTGAAATTTGATCTTACATCTATTCTATACATGCGTTTGAGAATAAATGACTGAATACTAGCTTTTGTCCCGCGACTTCGCATGCGTAAATTATAGCGTAACAAAAACCTACAAACAATCAAATCCTTTCTCTTTATAATATTAGTATAGATATCGATTGATAATACAGTGGCGGACTATCCCTGTCGGGGGCCCGGGGCGGCATTCGGTCCGTACCTACAACTGGTGCAAAAACTTGATTTTGTGTTTACACCGCCTCCCCTGCTAAAACTACGCAACTAAGAAATATAAGGCAGTACAACCCCAATTTATGATTTGATCAAGGGAATTTTCAGCCATTTGGAAGCCCCCTAGGATAAGAGGCCCGGGGCGGACCGCCCCCTATAGTGCGCCCTCCCTTAGTGCGCCACTGTGATAATACCTGACGAATTATAGCGGAATTCCATAATGATTCATCGAGCGTCATTATAAATTTCCTTATACGGATGTTTTTCCTGTGCATGTTATATAACACAAATGAATATTAATATTCATAAGATCGAAATTAATTTAATCATCATTGCAATCTATTAAAAAACAATATATATAATTTTAATTAGCTTGTTTTGACGCGAATTTTAAGTTTAAATTAAGATCAGATTGCTCAATTTAATTTCAGAAGCCCCACTTAGACAGGTGTACCTTTAGGCTCCGACATTAGACTAGCAGAGCGATCTTTGATTCTAGCTACCTATAAACATGTTTTATTGGTTTTGTTAAAATATCTGTTGAAATTCTTTTAAAATTAAACGTTTTATTTATTTATATATTTAATCAAACATTTTGGTTATATTTTTTCTTTTCATAATAGCTTTGTTTTCTAAATTCGACATTTTGTAAATTTAGTCTAACTTTAATAATTCAGTTAACTAAAACATATTCATCGTTAGAATCCTTATGGCTATAGGAGTTATAGTAAAAATCCCAAAAAGTCAAATCAAATCAAAAATGTAATAAAACACAAGGTTCTATGGCAAAGGTTTTTTATTCAAAGAAACGTCGAAGTATATAAGTATTTGGTAAAAGAACTTACATATGCGATGTAGAAATATATGTAAACTATCACATATATAGGGCACACAAACGTCATTGCCATCTAGCGATCATAAATATATACAAGCTGACAACCACAGACATTATCAAAGGACATTACTTAACAGAGATTTATAGGCAGTTGCTTCCTAACTTCAAATTACAAATCAACTTTGTTTTACATAAACGTGAATCACATAAATATTGCCGCGAACTTAGCGGTAACTATATTTAGAACCATAATCAAGTACTATAGTTATAAATTTATAGATAAGTATCAAATTCTGCAAATGCAAGAAAATATAATTTAATTACAATTTTAAATCCTAAATTATAGTGTCACCTCTTAATTTCATATTTCTTAAAATATGTAATATCCTCGTACGGAACTCATTAACAATGCTAACTAATGAGGTAGTACTTAAAAAAAAAATTAGTTCCCAAAATAAGCCCCGCGATTCTGTAAAAATAAAACCTCATTACGAATGAGGAGTATTTAAAAAATAATAATTAGATCCCGAAATCAATCTAGATGTCGCTACGGTACGTTCTTGATTTCTCCATGACAATCCTTCCGGTTTTCTTTCATGTATAAAGGAAAATTAATTTTCTAAACTCAATAAACAACTCATATTCTATTTATACTTTTTCGTATTTGTATCGATATCTAAGTTTCAAATATCCGTTTTTAATATATTTGTTAAAAGGAACGGAAATTACTGTCTTTGGTCCATTCGTTTCCTGCTTGCTTTTTTAGTGCTTTTAAATACTTTCTCATTACCATAAATATCAAATAATTATATAAATATTTAAATACATTATTTAAAGAATTCCAAGAATGACAAATCATTAATTAACATGCTGGTATTTAAAATAAATATAGCACGTTGAGAATAACAATGTCACTAACCAAAAACGACATATTTTTTACTTTTGACAACATTTTTCTTTGTTAAGTATAAACTTTAAAATCCCTGTTAACGTAGCTTGCCTAGAAACCGCTAGTTGGCGTAGTAACGTTGTTTAGAGGGGCGGGCGGATTACAATTTCTTGAACTTTAAACGCTCATTACTCAAAATCGCATTTTTTTGCATTGTGTCAATATCGTTCTCAACGTGCGATATATTACAATATTTAAAAAACTTTAGTTACAGTTACCAATTTTAAGTAAGGAAGCAGATTCATATTTATGTATGCAAAAATTACTATAATTATTGATCATAATAAATATTTGTAATTATTAAATATTTGCAAATTACCTACAAATAATATTAAATAATGATTAAATAGATGTTATAAAAAACAATCTTATGTGCTTTGTAATGTTAATTATCATTAATAGTTGTATGAACTTTTTTTAATTGTCAAGAGATGGCGCTATCGGCAATGGGAAATATAGTTTGCGTTGATTCTCCTCATTTCATTATTAGTTATTAGTGACGACAAGCAATTATAGATATAAATAATGTCAATATTAAAAAATGGGCTGCACCCATATCGCTCACTGAATAGTACAGTGGCACAACTCAAAAACCATTATTTCGAAATAATGCTACATTATTGTGGTGGCATCCCATAGATAATTTAAAGAAGAAATAAAAACTTAACAGTAATAATATAATACAGACGATTTAACTGTTATGCTAAAAAAATGATTTTCACAATTATAAATATATTAGATTTTCATAACTTCGGAGAACGTTTCTCAAAATTATGGTTTTTCAGTTGTGCCACTGTACTATTCAATGAGCGATATATGTCATAAACAATATGATTCAACCTCATTCAACACTGGCACTACTAATTTTCGTAGTACGTAGCGACATCTATGAGTTCATTTTGAAATTTACTTTTTTTATCCATCCTCTTTCATTTTTCAATCAAAAAGCTAAGGAATTGGTTTTGGGTGAAAGAAAAAAAAAAAGAACAATTTACACAAAAACATTTATTAAGTATTTAGTCACCTTTTTTGTATTCGTAGCGTCAGAAATTACATATATTTTAAATAAATTACGTACAGCAAATCTATTGTGTATCTTCATTATAATATCAACTTTTAGTTACTGTCGCATACTGTTCCAGATATCAAATCTTGGACGGATCCTCTGAAAAAAAGTAATCTTATGTTATATAAGAATAACAAGTATATTTTATACATATAACAAAGTTGCTTCCCGCTGTCTGTACGCTGAGATCTCTAAATTACATATCGGATCTTAATACGGTTTTCATCAACATATAGAGTTATTCAAGACAAAGCTTTATATGTATTACTAGCTTTCCGCCAGCGGCTTCGCGCACGTGGTCTTGTATTATACATAAAAACCTCACAGAAGAAGCGACTTTGTTTTATACTATGTAGTAATACAGGATCACATAAAGACATTAGCGGATAGCTAGTTTAATAAAACCACACTTTCGGAATTTTATTATTAAAACTTCACTGTCTCTCTATATCTCATGAATCGTGACAGACAGTTGAAATTTTCACAGATAATATGTTTCATTAACAACAAATACTAAATAACAGGATAAAATAAATATACAAGCGTGCTCAAATGTGTACATACAAAAAAAATAGCTTGGCTTTTTAATATTGGAATACAGATGAATATACTTACTTGTAGACGAAGAAATTGTAGTCATTAGTGTTGTACCGTGAGTATCCGAACCGTGGTAGAGTGTTAGCCATTACCCAGACCTCGTCACCGGTCACGTGAAGGTCTGTGGTGAAACGTCATGAATATAAAATTAAAAAAAAGTTATTAATAATACTTATTCAAGAAAATGCTATTGAAAAAGAAAAATGCTTTTGAAATAAGTATTATTTTTCACATTTTTAAAGTTTGGAATCCGTTCTATTTTTTTTGTTTATATTTCATGCTTTTTAGTTATACTTTTTTAAATATAATTGGTAACACTAAAAATACTTTTCTGGAATCGCACAAAATCGGTTCAGCTAAACGCTAGATAATCAGACAAACTGGGAACCTTCTTTTTTGAACTTGGTTAATGAAATGTACTTTATTCAAATAAGCTTCTTGCAAGAACTTTTGATTCGTCCAAAATTTTTTAGCTACCACTCGTTCAGGACGACTTTTGACTGACAAGAAGAATTGGCGAAGGAAAGATACCAGTAGACTAATTTTGCTAATGTTAACGTAATAACCGCATTTTAATGTAATCTCAACTACCTACTTGCATTTCGTCATTGTAGTATCTACTTAAAGTCCAATATAATCCAATGTCTTGCTCACATGTCAACGTTGACAGATACGTATATAATAATTAGACTTGCAACGAATATTCTGTTAGTATTCGTCATTCGGCCTATTCGGCTGCTTTTGGTATATTCAACCGAATACCGAATATCGCTCACTGAACAGTGGCACAACTCAAAAAGAATTATTTCGAGAAAACGCCACAACATTGTGGTGGCATCCCATAGATAATTTAAAGAATAAATAAAAAACTTAACAGTGATAATATAATACAGACGATTTAACTGTTATGCTAAAAAATTTGATTTTCATAATTATAAATATATTAGATTTTCATAACTTCGGAGAACGTTTCTCGAAATATGGTTTTTGAGTTGTGCCACTGTACTATTCAGTGAGCGATATGTCCATACTATTCGGCCGAATACCGAATACTTAATTACCTTATCATTATATTTTGTTTTAATGAGATATTTCCTAAAAATAAAAGAATTTATTTATTTATTTTATAATACTATTTATGTTTTCTTGCTCGCCACCACGTATACTGACTGTTATGCCGTGATATGTTAATAATCCTTAAAAACTATTTATTTCCGGTGTTTCTATCGGCTGTGTAATCTTTTTTCTGCTATAATTTCTTCCAATTAATCCATATAAGTTGAGTGAACAGTCTGGCTTAGACTTTGTTCTTCAGTTTTTATTTTCTTAGCCAAAATAGTGGATTTTACTATTTTCTTCACAATTCATCTTTAGACTATAGATCACGTCACTTTTCGGGTCACTTTCATCAGTAAAGTAGACTCGAAGTATGTCCAAATTAAAATAGGCGATTTCTTTTTAGACGCCATAATCTGTTATTATTTTTATTTATTATTATATGAAATGAAATGAAATGAAAATATCTTTATTCAAGTCAATGATATTAATATGTCTAGATACGCAATACATACCAAAAATCTGAAGCTACTTAAACTAAGACGTTTGTCTTAGTTTTTTCGTTTTTCACTTCAATACTCATTCAACTCCCGCCGAGAAAATACATAAAAATGCAAAAACGAAGAAAAACGGTGGATAAAATACGATTCTCTTTCACAAATACACATAATACGAAAGAATATTAAGTTTCACACTTAAGTCATTATTATTTTTGCAATAAATACAAATTTGAAGCTAGGTTATAAAATAAAAATTTTGATTTTCACAAATAAAATTTCGACATTTTGTCGTCAGTGTCGCCACTGCTATTCACTTTCAATTTTCCCAGCTATATGGGAGCCTTTTCTTTTTATTTTTACGTGGCTAAAATTTATCTAAATATCTTTTTATAATTAATTATATAGCTCAGCTTTAACAGCGCTAATTGTGTTGATAATTTTTTATACACGCACACAGATGCTAATGTGGTTTAATATTTTAGAGGTAGTTTAATTTTCTCAATGCGTGCAATTCGTTAGTTGTCGAGATACAACTTTTGAAAATACGTAAAATTGAACCTTTGTTTGATGTTTTATGAACTTTGACAAATGTTTTTGTCTTAACCACTAACTTTATCGAAAAACAAAGGGATATATATGCACAGAGCCTACTTTCGTGATTGGTTTTTTTTTTTTCAAAGTTTTTTCAAAGAAATTTTCAAAGTTACAGTATTTTACTAATTGATTTTATATATATATCTACACTACTCGTTCATTCATTCATTCATCACAATGGGTGAAATTTTCGACAGCTGGCAATACAATATCAATTACCCATTTTTCCGTTCATTCTACCGTTCGCACATATTCTGTCTTTGTTTAATTTAAAGTTTAATCGTAAATATGAGGGAGTAGTGTAGATATATGTATAAAATCAATTAGTAAAATACTATAATTTTGAATATTTTATTGAAAAAACTTTGAAAAAAAAAAGAGTCACGAAAATAGGCTCTGTGCATATATGTTTTTCGATAAAGTCAGTGGTTAAGACAAAAACATTTGTCAAAGCTCATAAAACATCAAACAAAGGTTCAATTTTACGTATTTTCAAAAGTTGTATCTCGACAACTAACGAATTGCACGCATTGAGAAAATTAAACTACCTCTAAAATATTAAACCACATTAGCATCTGTGTGCGTGTATAAAAAATTATCAACACAATTAGCGCTGTTAAAGCTGAGCTATATAATTAATTATAAAAAGATATTTAGATAAATTTTAGCCACGTAAAAATAAAAAGAAAAGGCTCCCATATAGTTGGGAAAATTGAAAGTGAATAGCAGTGGCGACACTGACGACAAAATGTCGAAATTTTATTTGTGAAAATCAAAATTTTTATTTTATAACCTAGCTTCAAATTTGTATTTATTGCAAAAATAATAATGACTTAAGTGTGAAACTTAACATTCTTTCGTATTATGTGTATTTGTGAAAGAGAATCGTATTTTATCTACTGTTTTTCTTTGTTTTTGCGGAGCATTTTTTTGTACTTTCTTGGCGGGAGTTGAATGAGTAATGAAGTGAAAAACGAAAAAACTAAGACAAACGTCTTAGTTTTAGTAGCTTCAGATTTTTGGTATGTATTGCGTATCTAGACATATTAATATCATTGATTAAACTCATTGATTCAAGTAGGCTATTACAAGCACTTTTGAATCGTCCAAAAAACATTTTGTCCCCTACCACTTGTTCAGGACGTCTTTTAGCTGACAAGAAGAACAAGCGAAAGAAACTAACCAGCTCTTTATCATAACTAATATCATAAAAGTGGGTAGGTAATTATTTTATTGTGTATTTGTTTAATCTTTCACAATGTCACTTACAAACGAATCAAAACGCAGAGTGAACTACAAACTGTACTTAACGTATTTACGATATGCATGAACTAAACTTGTCAAAACACGCAGTGTGAGTGTGAGGGTGGTGAGTACAACAAATGAGTTCGAAACAATCATGTTGATAGAAGTTTTGGCGCCACCTACCGGCCGAATACACTATGCCTAATATTCGGCCAGAATCTATTAGGCCAGAATATAGCCGATATTCGGTATCCGGCATATGGCCGAATACACTATTTGTTGCAAGTCTAATAATAATATCGTACTTCAGGTATATTTTGGTAATAAAATCAATCATGTTATCACCAAAATAATACGTATTACAAATAATAAAAACAATTATCATAATTTTCATAGGTTTGTCTACTTTTATTAAGTATATTATATTTCATAGTAGATAAATATACATGACGGATTTATATAATCTCATACATTCTCATACATTACCTAGTATATAATCCCCGAGGTTTTAGCGACTAATCTTGGTATTAACGACTCATTGGAGGGATAGATGTATGTATGTTATATCTTCAACTCACCTGAAGGGTAATTGAGTCCGGTATATAATATCTCTAACTCACCCGAAGGGTAGCTGAGCTTGGAGTTATTAGTTGAGTTCGGTATGTTATATTTTCAACTCACCTGAGGGGTAGCTGACTCCGGTATGTTATATCTTCGACTCACTGAGGGGTAGTTGAGTCCGGTATGTTATATTTTCAACTCACCCGAGGGGTAGTCGAGTCCGGTATTTTATATCTTCAACTCACCTGAGGGCTAGTTGATCCCGGTATGTTATATCTTTAATTCACTCGAGGGGTAGTTGAGTCCGGTATGTTATATCTTCAACTCACCCGAGGGGTAGCTGAGCCTGGAGTTAGTAGCTGAGTCCGGTATGTTATATCTTCAACTCACTCGAGGGGTAGTTGAGTCCGGTATGTTATATCTTCAACTCGCTCGAGGGGTAGCTGAGCCTGGAGTTAGTAGCTGAGTCCGGTATGTTATATCTTCAACTCACCTGAGGGGTAGTTGACTCCGGTACATTATATCTTCAACTCACCTGAGGGGTAGCTGAGCCAGGAGTCAGTAGTTGAGTCCGGTATGTTATATCTTCAACTCACTTAAGGGGTATTTGAGGCCGGTACGTTATATCTCCGACTCACCTAAGGGGTAGTTCAGCCCGGTATGTTATATCTTCAACTCACCCGAAGGGTAGCTGAGCCTGGTGTTATCCCTGGCGAGCACGGCGATGTTGGTGGAGCGGAGCAGGTTTCGCGTGTTCCAGCAGGTGAGAGCGTCGCGGCCGATCTCGGCGTAGAATATGACGCCCGAGCGCGGGTGGTAGTCGTGCATGGTCGACTGGGTCATGTCGCCGCGGTCACCCAGCACCTGATTATACAATAACGAGGGCTAACACCTCTAACGGTGTGCTGTACCACCGTTTCAGGTTTCAGCATGCAAACTTTTTGTCATTGATCTTCAATATGATTTCTTTTGATTATTTACATTTCGTAATTTGAAATTTTGACTAATCCAATATGCTCTTTGTGAATGTCAGTTGGTAAGCTCGGTGGCGTAGTGGATAAGCGCCGCGGCTCGCGATCGTTGTCGTTAAGCAACTTTCGCAAAGGTCCGTCACGGGATGGGTGACCGAAAAATTATTATCTCTCACTACTCTGTGCCTCGGAAGGCACGTTAAGCCGTTGGTCCCGGCTGCATTTGCAGTCGTTATCCTCCAATCCGCATTGGGCCATCGTGGACGGTGATGGCCCATCCTCTTTTAACATCCATAAGGAAGGCCTGAGCCCCTGCAGTAGAGACGTAAAAAGGCCGATGATGATGATGAGAAACCTCACTTGTAAGCGGCGTCAAACTGCGGGCACAAACACACCAGCCATCTTGATTACTAGTTCTAAAATCATCAACTCACGTTGTACATCGAGAAGTAATTGCGGTCGTTCACAGCGGTTTTGTTTTTGAGCACACAAGTGGACACCGAGAACTCGTGGGTGCCGATCAGCGAGTGGAAGTAAGCGTTCTTACAGCCGTTGCTGCCCGGTACTAACGTAACGCTGAACACACCATCGCTCCACTGGAACCTTTGATCTGAGCAAAGATTACAATATTATACTGGAAATAGATAGCAATCTCAAACTTTAAATAGGTCACGATAACAGCGCCATCTATCCGCCAGCTAAAAAAAGTCGCGTGTATGTGTGCGTGTATATGTGTGTAGCCAGCTACCACACTATTGACGGTGAAAGGTTTATTTGATTAGTGTTTTTTCTTGATAAGATAAATAGGTATATTTTTTCTTTTATATAGATAGATTCTTAAAATGTTTAATAGTTATTTTTCATTTTGAGAATCAATACATATATAATAAAAGCAAATGTACCTATATAACTTATCGAAAAAAAAAACACTTGGATTATTAAACCTTAAATATAAAGCATAATGTAAGACCGCAGATTATTTTTCGTTTTATTTGCTATGATTAAACAAGTATATTAGGAGTCATATTTATATGGTTTATGTTCAATGCTAACTATTATAAATGTTTAGAGCGAGTAACTAACAAGCGCACGGACATTCAATCAATACCATTTTCTATTTGCGAAGTTAGTTTTAAAGTTTACCCACAATACCAAACGATTACACACGCGTCATTTTCAATTGATATTGCCATAGTATATTTAATATTACCACCTAAATTAGAAACATTTCTAGTCATAATTCTATAATTAGTATATTAACTTCTGTAACAATATTATTATTTCAATAATATTATTAATCATAAGGCTTTTTAACTAAGTTTCAAAGTAATAATAAACAAGATTTATTAATGACGCCTTTAAAAATTATCCCCAATTATAAACACATTTATTTATTGTGGCTACACCATGATTTTTATTTTAAAAGCTGGTACATAGATGGCACTGTACAGTAAAAAACATCGAGTTCTAAGTTTGCATAGCATGGATCTGAGGAAGTACAGGTTAGTAAACAACTCTCCTTTAATTTTATAAATAAACTAGTGTTCCGACAGCGGCTTCGGCCGCGTGGTCTTGTATTATACATAAAAACCGTCTTTTTGAATCACGCTATCTATTAAAAAAAGCCGCATCAAAATCCGTTGCGTAGTTTTAAAGATACATACGTAGGGATATAGGGACAGAGGAAGCGACTTTGTTTTATACTATGTAGTGATAGTCCATTAATATCTGAGAAATAATGTACAAGTAACAGCATGTCTGCGATTAATAGTTTCGGAGATACGGCGCTGTGTTTGTGGAACTGCTGCTAGCCGGCTATATGACATCACACAGAGCAGCAAATTTTTGCCAATTTTTAAAAGCGTAATATTTTCCAAAGTAGTGTTCCATAAAATTTATTATTTAAGTTTATATGGTTCATATTTTTGGAACATATAACAAGAATCTCTATTTTAACTTGTAGGACACAAGCCTAAAGACTTCTTGAGGAGGAGAAAAAAATACAACCAAATAAGCTGTAATTCGAAAATGAAAACTACACCCAACTACATGTATAGGTACTAAAAGGAAATTTATAAAATTACAAAGTTACCTCTTAACTAGGGGTGATGACTGAGATAAATACGTTTCTTTTTGATTGATTTCTAAAAGAAGTAGTTCAGATAACAGGCATTAAAATTGAGGAGAAGAGCAGAGGTAGAAAATGTAATGAAGTGTGATGTCATAACATGAATTTTTCGCTTAATAATTATTGATAACGCAAAAAATAAAAGTGTGTTAATTTTTTCAATAATCTTCCTTACGGATTTTCATCATCCATCGTTAATACAATAATTCACAGAATTATGCTCCTTTGATTGGAAAAAAATACTCAGACTTTCATTAACTGCGGAACAAACTTATTCATTAAAACTTAGATCCCAAAAATAAAACTTACAGCAAGATTAAAAAATAAAACTCACTATAAAATCCTAAATCACTCACTATAAGATTCCAAAAAACTCACTATGAGATCCCAAAACACTCACTATAAGATCCCAATATTAGAACTCACGGTTTGATACTCACTAGAAATAAATAGGTTTCCAGCTATAGGATTGAAGGCGAAGTAGTTATGCTGATGTCTCCAGCTATCGTTTTCTCTCAGCGAGTAGACTATCAGGCCGAAGGTCGTCAGGTCTGGCAAGTAAGCGTACGCGTTTGCGCAGTCGTTTCCATTTATATCAACGGTAATAGAAGCGAGTCCTGGAAACATAAATATGTATTCAAATTAATTATAATCGATTACAAAAAGTCGTAATAATGAAAAACAACAGAAAAGGGAGAAATATATTACATTTTTTTTATTCAGATATTTATTTAATAGTTGTGTTTGGCGTAAGTACGAGTATTATTTAGATCTGCATGCCATAATAAATGCATATCTACTAAAAAGAACGATATATAATTGAAAATGTCTGTAAACCTCATTACCCTTTTATAGGAATAGTACTTAGATGTGAAATAGTAATGAGGTATTATAATTAAATATTCATTATGTCAGCCTTTTGTAGTCCACTAGTGGAAAAGGATCTCCCCTAGGGTGCGCTAAAAACACGATCTAAATATATCTTTGTCCGGTCACTGCCGGCCATGTTTTTGAGGTCATCAATCCATTTTATGGAGGGAGGTCTGGCACTCGATTAGCTGTGATGTAGTCTTCATTTGAAAACCCGAGAAACCTCTCGTTCCCATAGCCGGTAATAATACTGAAGACCATTAAGAAATTACTAAAATGTTGCATCGAGCTTAATCAGGCAAAGCCGCTGGACCAGACAATGTTCACATAGAAATTCTCAAGCTCGTTGATGACGAAAACATTTCAGGACTATAAATTTTTAATTCTTATTTACAAATGAGGCTATATACCAGATGAACGGCATAGGGCGACTTTTGTTATATACTTTTACACACATAACATCACGCTATGACTTATTACAATATTTTTAATTGTAATAACGGCAAAACCACGCAGGTGAAGCCGCTGGCAGAAAGCTAGTACTATAGATAGCATTATAGATAGATAGACAAAATGATTTATTTCTTGCCAAAATACACACACACACATTACATTTCATTCAACAGAAAAATAAATAAATAAGTATGTAGATGAGACAAATGAACATTCGAAAAAAAATATGTGTGTGCGTCACAGCAGTACACAGTGTGGTCCCAATGCTCCCAGCTCAGCGTCAAGTATTCACGCGCATGCAATGCGAGCAAATCGTTGATTTTCAGCTGCAACCAAGAGTGAGCGCAAACACGGTACTGAAACTAACCAGTGGCCTAATTGTCTAATTTTTCATCTATCACAATCATTTTCAAACGTAACTTGATTTATGGAATTGTGTAACTTTTAAAGTCACAATTGCTTTCGGAACGAATGATGATTTGAATGATACAGAATGTCATAGATAATTCATTATTTTTGTTTTTTTAAGTTGTGAAAAAAAAATTTACTGATAATAATCTACATAAAGTTAATGTTTTCTTTACCTGTAGGTGTATTTTCTGCTGGAAGATCTGAGCTTTTGAGTTCGTATCTTAATATTTGTCGGTCTGTAGTTAAGTCGTAGATTACAATCGCTGGCGTTCGCAATTGCCTTTGAGTTCCTGAAAAAACACACTTAAATCAATTATCCCCACTACTAAGATTCAGCCTTCCGTATGGATAAAATCAAATCGATCAGTTAAATCTAAATAATATGTCAGTAAATATAATATCTTTAAGCTCAAGTCTGTCAGTCCACAATCTGCTGTAGTTGTCCGCTTTTTTGTATTATACAGCCGTCAGTTGAAACTAGATAATAAGTCAGTAAATATCAAACCTGGTATCTCAATACTGTCAGTGTTTACCGTGCATTATTTGTTGCAATTGTCCATTGTATCTCAAGTCTGCTGCAGTTGTCCGCTTTTGTGTATTATGCAGACGTCAGTTGTATCTAGATAATGTGTCAGTAAAAATCATACCTTGTATCTCAAGTCTGTCAGTGTCTGTCTTCCATAATCTGCTGCAGTTGTCTACTCTTGTGTATTATACACACGTCAGTTGTATCTACATAATAAGTCAGTATATATCATACCTTGTATTTCAAGTCTGTCAGTGTCTATCTTCCACAATCTGCTGCAGTTATCCGCCCTTGTGTATTGTACACACGTCAGTTGTATCTAGATAATGTGTCAGTAAAATAATACCTTGTATCTCAAGCCTGTTAGTGTCTGTCTTCCATAATCTGCTGCAGTTGTCCGCTCATGTGTATTATACACACTTCAGTTGTATCTAGATAACATGTCAGTAAATATCATACCTTGTATCTCAAGTCTGTCAGTGTCTATCTTCCACAATCTGCTGCAGTTGCCCGCTCTTGCATATTATACAAACGTCAGTTCTATCTAGATAATGTGTCAGTAAATATCATACCTTGTAGTTCAAGTCTGCCCGTGTCTACCATCCATAATCTGTTACAACTGTCGGCTCTTGTCCGGTACACAGACGTAAGTTGTCCTGCTTCACGAATGTTCGGATAAGGCTTTAGAGGCGGTGAGCGGTTGACACTAATCCCATTGTAGTCTATGTAGTTTAGTGTAGCTGGTATACCTATAAAACGATCCGTTAAGTTATATTACAATTTAAGTTAAGTTACAATCAGTTAACTTTCAATCAGTTTTATTACAAAGATAAATGTTTAATTAAGCAGTAGTAAAAATGATAATACAATATCATATTTTAATGGATTTCTTCACAGGAAAACGTTTATTTATTCTCAATTGAAAGAAATCGCTTACGAATTTCCCCGTTTCCTTTTTAAGTATCTAAAATAATCAGAATAGGTATGACACCTATTTTTTTTTTCTCTCTCCGTCAGGTGACGTATTTTTTATTTTAGCGTAGGTAATCTATAAATGAGTAGCTCGGTGGCGTAGTGGATAAGCGTCGCAAGGGTCGGTCACGGGATGGGTGACCAAAAAAAAATTATCTCGAGCTACTCCGTGCTTCGGAAGGCACGTTAAGCCGTTGGTCCCGGCTGCATTTGCAGTCGTTAATACTCTCCAATCCGCATTGGGCCAGCGTGGAGGGTCATGGCCCATCCTCCTTAACCATCCATAAGGAAGGCCTGAGCCCCTGCAGTAGGGATGTAAAAGGGCTGATGATGATGATGATCAATCTATAAATTACGGCGATAAATTGTAATGTCGCATGAGGAGACACATTGGTACATGTTCTACATAATTATGATGTAACAAGCCCCTTACGACACAATTATGTAGAAAATGTACCAACTTGCTTATTATCTAAGCGATTTCTTATTAAATTCCCAAAATATTCATATCTAGTATTTCTCTAAATTCTAATTGACGGACTAAATAGTTATTTTAAATCCAGTCATCGTCTTCTATTTAATATTGTCTTCACTTACCATATCGCCTTCTCGGAAGTGAGATAAAAACTCTGTCCCCTACTCGCTCTACACCCATAGGTACATTGTTGTATTGAATAAAGAATCTATTTTCATCACCTACGAAAGAAAGTAAAATTAAAAAACAAAAAATCATTAAAAAGTTTTATAACAAATATGCTGATGGAATAAAAAAAGATTAAAAACTTTACTGTTTAGTTTTATGAAGTTCTCATAGATGGCGGTGTACGGTGATTCATAGATGAAATTTTCAATATCGTTTGACATCTAGGTTGCAAATACACCCAATAGATGGCGCTGTGTTCTAGATGGCGTTTATTCTAAAGTGATCTGCGGTAACGTCTCTTTCAAAGAATTTTGCGTAGATTACGTTTTCGATTAAGTTTTGTGTAAACTTCAGAACTGTTTTTTTTTTCATCTTTATTTCAAATTGCATTGAATTGGATTAATATCTCTAAAGTTTCAAAGATATTGGACATTCGTTGGTATTTTGTTGTACTATCTAATCTTCGAACTTTAACATCAAGGTAATTTCATCATCAGCTCAAAAAACAACAGCGTTTTTGGAAAATATGATGCCCAAAGTAACTATATCACGCGGACGAAGTCGTGGGCAAAGGCTAATATTTCAATAATTCAAGAATATTTTTATCATTGCAATTTGTGCTATCTATATTTAGGCAAGTTCCAGTGCATTAGCAATTTACGTAATTTTATAAACATTTTTATTAAAAAAAACTGTAGTAAGGTTAGCAAACAATTGCCAAAAATGATGAAATGAATGAATTAATGAAATGTATACTTTATTCCACACAATAAATATTTACATGAACACATATTACAAGTAAGATAGATGCAAAAGGCGGCCGACTAAGGTAGATATTTCTATCAGGCTACCCTTGGGCAAGAGGAACTATGCCATTGATTTCGAAATATAAATGTTATTTTTATCATATTTTATATAAAAAAAGGTTGTATCTTTGGCTGTATACAACGTTAATTTTTAAGCATATACATAAAAATAAATGAGTTTTTTTGCTTTGACATACAAATATGTATGGTAAAAAGTAAAAAATGAAAATATTTATATTGGTGATTAAAATAATTTGTTAAAAGTTTTGCACTGCGAATTATATTGTATTGAGAAAGTAATTAAAAAAAATTAGGTCCCGAAATCAAACTAGATGTCGCTAAGGTACTTTCTTGATTTCTCCATGATAACCCTTCCGGTTTTCTTTACAATAAAAGTAAATTCATTTTCTAAACTCAATAAACAACTCGTATTCTATTTTTACTTTTTCGTATTTGTATTAATATCTAAGGTTTGAACTTTGCAAATTTCAGGTTTTTAATATGTTTGTTAAAAGGAACGGAAATGACTATCTTCGGTTCATCCATTTCCTGCAAAAATCAATTCAGGGTTATGAACGTCTTAAAACGTAACTGCACATTATATGTATAATATATTAAGTGTAATACACCTCTTTAGGTGTCATTAAAAATTATACATTCTTCTTTGATTTTTTTTTTATTCAAAGTTCAACTCCTGAGATTTCATTTATCGAAATAGGATCATAAGTTTCTTTCTTACTCTATGGTTTTAATTTCAAAACAACTAGAAGTAATACGTAGTTGAAGTAAATGAAATCACGTTTATTCAAGAAACTATTGCTTCTTTTGTAAAAATAATTAAAAAAGGTAATTATTTATTTATCTACTCTTTATTAGCATTACAGCAAAAGGGCGGCTTTAATTCCATAGACAATTTTTTACCAGTCGACAGTAAGGGTCTCTGATAGAAAGCTTAAATTCGATTCAATATGTTCACGTAACTTCTATTGAAGTCGATGATTTTCGATAGTTTGTTAATATACTCCAAATATTTTTTTAAGGTGTGTATTAATTTTATCAATGAAAAATATGGTTTATTTTTTTACAAAAATAAAAAAACTATCCCAATATTATAAAGAGAAAATATTTGATTTATTTGTTTGGATTGAATAGTTAATTTACTGGAGCGATATTTAAATATCTATATCTCCCATAGTTTATCGTATATCATACGCGGGTGATATGGGAGATATGATTATAGCATTCGAAGTCGCGGGAAAATAGCTAGTCTACAATGTTTAACTTACTGGATTGTGTTGGTGTGTTCTGTGGTCTTGGTCGCCTTGTGGGATTTGTCAGGTGATTGCTTTGTCCTTGGGGCACTGGAAAATTAAGGTTTATTTTATAATTATCTAAATTGTTTTATAATCAACCCTTTTACGTCCCCACTGCAGGTCTCAGGCCTTCCTTATGGATGGTTAAACAGGATGAGCCATCAACCTCCACGCATGCCCAATGCGGATGTGGGTATAAACGACTGCAAATACAACCGGGACCAATGGCATAACGTATCTTCCGAGGCACGGAGTAGCTCGAGATAAAATTTTTTTGGTCACCCATCCCGTTATCGATCCTTACGAAAGTTGCTTAACGACAACGATCGCGAGTCGTGGCGCTTAGCTACTACGTCTCTGAGATAAAAAATTGTTTATCTATTAATTCATTTCATTGAGAATATATTTCATTTAACATGAATATTTCAAAGACCAAGTGATGGAATGGGCAGTATAAAAGAAATCCGAATATGTATAACTTAAAAAAACTAGCGTTTAATTTGCAGCAGTGTAACGAAACTGAAAAAAAAGATATGAATGGAAATGCAACCGGGTCATCTCATCCACGTGGATTTCGTTTTAAAAAGAAGTCCACAGGAAAGAGGTGACATGTTCAGGGCGTAAGTCGAACACCAACGGCTTAATGAAAAAACATAGGAAATATTACCGCATAATAGGCTGTACGGATTAGATCCCTTTGTCTCTAATTAAAAAAAAAGTAAAACTTACAATCGTTCCACACATTTAATTCATCGAAGTTTCCTAAGCGTCTGCCTGTTCTACCCGGCGGGTCATCCATATCTTGATTTACTAAAAAAATAAAAATAAAAATCATTTTAACCTGTAAGACTTAAAATATTGAGTACCAGAAGAGCAACCGCTGTAGTTATAAAAAAATGATTTCATAAATGAATCTGTTGATATTCTTTTAAAGTTAAATATTTTTCATTATTTTTATATTTAATCAAACGTTTTGTTTTTTTTATTTTCCATTTGTTTTTGCCTTTGTTTGTCTAAATTCGACATTATATCATTAGTTAAACTAGAATAAACAAAAGCATTGATTAAATATATAAGTAATAGAACAGGAACGTTGTATAACAATATTAACTTAATCATTGATGGAAATAACGGAACGTTCTTATAACTATGGCTAGAGTTATAGCGAGATAGGAGCTCGCTTGTCTGGACATCGCTATTTATCAATGAGGAAGTATTAAAAAAAAACGAAAGCACTAAAAAAGCACCTCCACTAGATGGCGACTCTAGCAAAAGTTGATCTTTGCAGGAAACGAACGGACCAAAGACAGTCATTTCCGTTTCTTTTAACTAACATATTAAAAAACTGAAATTTGAAAAGTTCGAAACTTAGATATCAATACAAATATGAAAATGTACAAATAGAATATGAGTTGTTTATTAAGTTTTGAAAACTAATTTACTTTTATACACGAAAGAAAACCGGAAGGGTTGTCATGGAGAAATCAAGAATGTACTGTAGCGACATCTAGTTTGATTTCGGAAACTAATGTTTTTTTTTATTTCTTCCTCATTAACCTCGCAACCTTTTGCTTTTTATTTATTCCCGAAAATAAAAGTACCCCCAGATACGCGGCATAGTGTTACAATCGACTTATTTATTAATATGCAATTGAAATTAGCTTGTTGTTAATTATATTAATGTTTTAATAATTCTAATAAATAATTCTAATTAAATTCTTGGTCTATAGAAGAGAAAACAGTGCCGTATTTCAAGCCTAATAATATCCCAATTGTTGTGGTACAGGCTATCCCTTTAAACATAATTGATTAGGGAGAATGGGCCATAACCTTTCATTGGATCCCACCGACTTCTCAAAGAGCTCGAGATAGTAATTTTTGGTCACCCATCCCGTAACCGACCCTTGCGAAGGTTGCTTAGCAACAACGATCGCGGGCCGCGGCGCTTATTAGCTTCGCCAACGAGCTACTTCGATTTACTTATGATTGATTAATTATCTAGTAATGTTACAAACGGCTGGGTTAGGGACCTTTTAGGTGATAAGGGTGTTTCCGAATAGACAAACATTATGATATAGATAATAATTAGATGACGAGTTGTTTACAATTACGGAACTGATAAAATCACTGATCACAATAAAGTCTGGTTTTTAGTGCCCATGTCTATGCCAAATAAGGCCAGTGTGGTAATAAGGCCCACCTTAGGAATTTCGTTTTTATACGCTTTCCTTTAGGAAGCTATATGCAATTAAGCAATTAATTATATTCTATCGAGTATATGAATGAGTGAGTAAAATTATCATCTTATTCTTAGAAATTAAATACACAAATATTCACATACACCTTGATCAATGGTATTATGGAAACAATAATATTATTTTAATTAAAAAGTTATCATTTAAATATTCATTCACTGTGTAATAGCATTTATTTATAAATCGAATTGGAAAGAAGAATTTAGCTCTTAATTATTAAATTAGGGGCCTTATAAAACCCCGGGCTTTAATTGCACTAGGTATCGTAACCTATTTGAGTTCATGATCGGTCTATTATTGATAATAGAAGGGTCCCGTAACGTTTGTTTGTATCGGAGCTCTCTCCAAGTATTATACTTTTTTGTGTTCTTAGTATATGTTGTTATATCGGCAACAGAAATATATAAACTGTGAATATCTCAACTGTCTGACTATCACGGTTGATAACACACAGCCAGGTGACAGACAGACATCGGAATCTCAGTAATAGTATCCCGTTTTTACATTTTGAATCCTAGAAACGAAGTATTCGTTCTTTTATCACTACATACATAGTACAAAACAAAGTTGTCCCTATATTCCTATGTATGCTTAAATCTTTAAAACTACGCAACGGTTTTTGATGCGGTTTTTTTTCATAGATAGGGTGACTCAAAAGGAAGGTTTTTTGTATAATACAAGACGACGCGAGCGAAGCCGCTGGCGGACGTAATAATAAGTTTCCTATTTATATTATGAGGTCTACTAATTGCATCTAACGCATTAAATTTATTATTAAAGCCGTGTCTTATATTAGTTTATATTAGCATATTAGGTACTAAAAAAAAAATTAAAAAAAATCAACTCACGTTGAATGACATGGTCGAAAATTGTATAGATCTGTGCCCAAAAAAAAAAAAAAGTATTCATGTACAGGTTATATTAAAGTTTATTAGTATGTCTTTGTAATATCACAAATTATATACCTGAAAAAGAAACGAGAGGCACCATAGCAATTTTACAAAAATTAATATTTCTAGGTATATAAACGTAAAATACTTCTAGGTCAGGGGTTCCTAAACTTATTTCGTATGTTGCCCACTTTGATAAAAAATATTGAACCACTATAACTTCAAATTAAATTACTTGTTGTAGGCCATATTTGAGGTGACAAATTACTTAATTACATTCATTATAAAAAGACTTTTACTATAACCCGTATAAGTTAACTTGAGTCCTAAGAGACCTTGCACCTAATCTACATAACGCCTCCATTTTTTTCTGTCTCTTACGCCCCCTGTAGGCCTGCAGCGCCCACAGGAGGGCTTTATCGCCCCTTTCTAGGTGTTACATTATATGTAAGTATATGATGTAAAATACTTGTGATGTGGTGAAAAAATACTCTCCAATTCGCGACAAAGGTACTTAAATCATCAAGTATTAAAATGCTATGACATCATAAAACAAAAACTATATAATCTATATAAAAACTTCTGGCAAAAAACGTACATCTTTTTGCATCCACTTATTAAACGTTACAAAAACAAGGTAGGTAGTAAAGTCACACGAGTGAAGTCCAATAAAAACGCGTATGAAGCGTACGCCAGCAAAATAATAACATTTGTTGTATATACCCTTAAATTTGTTTAATTCTGGGCGCCAATTCTACTAAATAAATTTTGTTTAAATCGAATTGAAAACCGAACGAAACTACAGTTTTCCAGCTAAAATTGAACTGAAATTGTATCGTATGACACTTTGTAGAATAGGACAACCATTATAAACTGTAGTTTCGTTCGGTTTCGATCCGTTTTCGATTCGATTTAAACAAAATTTATTTAGTAGAATTGGCCCCCAGTTCTGTTTTTACCCGACTACGGTGAAGCGAAAAGGAGGGTAAGATTTTGACCGGTATGTATGTAAGAATGTTCATCTAGGGCGCGCCCGCTTAACTCATGAAAGTAGCCATAGTCGTAGTTATAACCTACGCTTTATCGATATTTAAGGATGTTATATTTATGAATAAGGAGTTTCTATTGTACTTGATTTCTATACTTGACAACATGAAACTGGACACTAGGAAAAACAAGGTGTTGCCGACAAAGGAGGTTAAATACCGTTTTATTTACTTTTTGTTGTATTCTTTCATAAAACAAATTATTCTATGTAATTCTAAAGTCACCAAGCTAGATGTTTTATGTTACTGACGAATTTTTCTAGCAATTTTTTTCAGATGATTTTCGACAACATTTTTTATTATAAATGTGCAATTAAATAATTATTTAAAAAAGCACTTATTTAATAATTGTATATTATTAAATTATAATTTAAAAATTTCAAAACATACACTCAACTGGCACTGATGATTTTATTACAGATATCATTTAAAAAGTACTGGTTTTATTGCAATCTTAAAGTGTGTCGAAATATCTAAGATGCATGATAATTTTAGAAAATCTTATACTTTTAAATATACACTAAATTATTGTGGAGTACCCCAGGGTAATGTATTTGGCCCACTTTTCTTTTAACTATATATCAATGATTTGTCTAGTGTTACTGAACAAAAGTGTATCCTATTTGTTGATGACACAACCTTTGTTAACAGAGGTAAGGATTGTGATGATATTGAATGAGTAGCTAAGATTGAATTCAGAAGAGTCACATAATGGCTGGAGAAAAATAACCTAAAAATTAACATTAACTAAACGAAATGCTTACAATTTAAAACTACAACTGCTAAAACTAATAGCATATCATAGTTAAGTCTCATCTGTATTCCCATACAACAACGAGCTAACACAAATACTAAGGACCGGTCGAACGAATGAAGTGAGTCTTTTACAACAGCGAGCTGAACACAAATACTAATAACGGGTCGAGCAGGTGAAGCGGGTCTCTTACAACTTGAAATTTCAGTATGTTGAAGTACTAAGGGCCGGGACAGTGCCTTTACTGCCAGACTGTCCGTCTGTATTTCATAGGGCAGCATCTTTTAGAAATCATAAGAGTCCTTGACCGATTTCTTCCAACGATAAAATTATATAAATTCGTCATTATCTTACTGTGGCAAGGTCAAGCGATCGATATTTTTTAGATAATAAAAAGAACCAACATTAATAAATTACAAATAAACATCGGTAAGTATACATTATGTATACTTAAGTATATATTATTTAAAAGTAGTTTTCCTTGTTTACTTGTAGGAAAAGCTCATAGTTTTATTAATATGAAACTTGAATTGTTTATAATCTGCAGTTATTCTGATTTGTACCACTATTTTGTATCTAAAAGGCTCTGGTTTTGATTGTTGGTTCACATGTTTTATTCTCTAACTTCTAAGCTATGTACTATTCAGTGGCAACAGTGATCTCCGCGGAACTCCATTTTGACACTAGAATTTGTATCGATACACTGTTATTTTATATTCCGTATGCATTAATGACCATGAAAGTTAACAAAAGAGTATTTCATCTAAATAAATATATATACGGATATATATCCACAGTGCCGAATTAATCCAGAACGGGACCTTAAGCAAAATTTTTATACACCCGCCCGCACCTCCATTCGCATTCCGCTATTTCGATGTCTTACTTGAGGGTTTCTCAAAGTGAGATACGCGCACCCCAAGGGGTTCGCCATAGACTAGTTGACAACTTTTTTAATTTTATAATTAAATAAATCCTTGATATCTGAGAAATAATATAGAAGTCTGCGATTAATAGTTTCTGAGATAGGGTGCTATGTTTGTGGATGTCATTACCAGATCAATACATTATAAATAGAGAGAGAAAACAAACTATGATTTTATAATGATAACATAATCATTTAATAATAATGGAAACAAGATAATTTTTGATATATGAGTTAAGAAGTAATCACCTGTCCAGCTGCTGCATCAAATTAATGAGTTTAGAAGTAATCACATATCCAGTTGCTGGATCATCTCAACTCCAAGCGTTCTTATCTGTTATATAATCGGATACCTTATAATAAGCTTTTTAATAAGTATTTTTAATAGTAGATTTAAACTGCATGATATCTAATTGTTGTATTTTGCTTGGGACCTTGTTGTAGAAGCGCACACAAAGACTCCTGAATGAGTTATTCACTTCATCATCATCATCATCAGCCCTTTTACGTCCCCACTGCAGGGGCTCAGGCCTTCCTTATGGATGGTTAAGGAGGATGGGCCATGGGGTGCGTAGTCTGGCAACCTCCTCGTGGTGCACCCTGGGCAACGTGGCGGCTCGAAGTTTCTTTGAGCCGCCGCGGCTAATGTCAGACAAGCCGTCGTCTTGGCGTTTTGTGTTCCAAGACTGACGGCTCAAGTGGGAGTGGCCTTAGATTTTTATGTTCTGAGGCGACTCACAAGTGGGAGTGGACTCGGTTGCGGACCGCGGGTTCGGTCGCCTTGCCAGACGGGCTTGATGGTGACTGAACCTGTTGGGACTGTGATCGAGCCTGCTCAACCTGAGTTGTTTCCTCGGCGTTTTATGTTCCGAGGATAACAGCTCAACAGTGCACTCTAAAAAATGGAGGCCAACAAAGAGCGATTTTCTCTTGGTTGACATAATATTGAATAAAACAATTACTTATTTACATAAATCAACCAAAGCTGAAACATTGAACCAACTAGTTAAAGTATGGTTAAATTAAAAATTTGGTAACCCTGGTTAATTCTATCAAATATATTTATCGTATCTATCGTTACTGGATTTTTTTGTGTGAATCGATTGTTTTTAATAGTTAAATTTAACGACTAAGTATGTTGAAGCAATTTATACAAATTAATCAAAATAAATAGGTAAAGTAATAGATTAGACGATTTTTATTGTTGCAGTAATAAGTTTCTCGTATTTGATTTAACAAAGAACGTTAGTAGAACCAAAAAAAACCCTTTGTTTTTCAAACAACAAAGACTATTTAGTCAATTCAAAAACATGAATGATTAATGTAACTACTTGACATTATTGGACTAACTAAAATTAAGCTGTTCATGCTACTAATAATGTATTTGCTAAAATAATTATCAAATTCTGATCGATTTAAATACTCTCTTACATGAATCAACTTAGAAAAGCGAGTGCCAACAAAGAGTGACTTTGTTAAATTAATCCTTACAAACTTATCAAATTTACTTTTCAATCAAAAATCACTTTTCTTCTGTTTAAGACTGGTTTATGATGCATCAGTCCACAGTTTTATATCTTTCCTTGATACATTATTGTTTGTTTTTCGTTTTTATGCGACAGATAGCCGTTACATATTAGTCTGGCACTATTATTTTAATGTTAGTGATTATATATACACAGTAAGATCAATTATCAACACTTGAGACTTTGTTTTCACTTTCGCAAAACTAATATTAATAAATATCGGGAAATATTTAATTTAAAATTAAATTAAATCAGCTGTAAGGATTTGACAACCGTACACACCAGTGTTGCCGCCAGTGTCAAATATGAGGAGGCAAGTTTGTGAGAATATTGTTATGATAGATTAATTCAACCAACATGTTGGTCGATATTAATATGAAACACGCCCATCATCTTCATAGGTGCCCAAATAGTTCTAAGTGAATCGAACTCGCTGGAGAAGCTATTGCATTTATCTGATGATATTTCCATAGAAACCCCGTGATCCCAAATGTAAGAAAATGCATACACTAACCTGGATAGGCAGGAATAGAAAGGATTCACCAACGACGGGGCAGCGTGCCGGCCGGCTAGCAAAACTCACAAACTGCACTACAAGTTTGGTAGTCACTTAGGTTATCATATCAGGCAGGAGTTTATGGAACACAAACAGTCAATAAACTTCTAGTAAGCTTTCTTTTAGTATTTTTAGATAAATTTAACACGCGCGTCTGCTTGCGAAGAAACAGCGAAGGCAGCCATACATTTTCTTGCTTCCGCCGTCGAGAAATGGCAGCGAGCTCGCCACCAATCAATAGCCCGCGTAGTCGCGGCAAATTTAAATGAGCGGAAGGAAACATTCAGGAATAAGGATTTTTAATGGAATGGTTTAATGTCTATACACTAAGTCTGCAAACTAGATGGCGTTGTTCATTTAATGCATCGCGGTATCAGTTTATATCGTTAGATTGTATAAGTAATATGCCGTTTAAAGTAAAATTAATATGGGATTCGGAACCAACCATTCCAGCTATTTGCTTTAGCTCTTTGGTTAGGCTCTGAGCTATGATCCGAGTTTAAAGTCTCACTTGCTTTGGACCAAAAGTTTAGAATGATCAAACGGCTACAGTGGTTGGTTCTCTTGGTTGAATTACCATTGGTAAATTGGTTAGTATAATCATATCTCATGCTTAAATTGACCAATCTCTTGGCCGAATTAACTTCGGTAAATTGTTTAGAACAACCAAGTTTTATATTAATATCGACCAACATGTTGGTTGAATTAACTTCGGTAAATTGGTTAGTACAACGATGTTTCATGCTTATATTGACTAACCTATCGGTTGAAAGAACTAAGGTAAATTGGCAAGTACAATCATATTTCATGGTTAAATTGACCAACTCTTTGGTCAAATTAAGTTTCGGGAATTGATTAGTTTAGCCACGTTTTTCATGTTAATTTTTACCAACCTCTTGGTTGAATCAACTGTGGTAAATTGTTCATACAGTCACATATCATAGACATATCGACTACGATCTTATTTAAATTGCTGACTAGGCGGTAGTTGCTATAGTTATTTATAATGATCAAATTTAATGAAATTTTAACTATCTTAACAAAGTAACTATAGTAAAAATAATAAAAACCAGCTTATTTAATGTATCTAACATCTTGTCAGGCTCATATGGAAACAAGATGCTTGGTCACATATATCACAATGTTGTTTGATGTAACAAATTTTTTTTTAGAGTGTGGGAGTGGTCTCGGATTTTTATGCTCCGAGACGACTCAGTGAGGGGCGGACTCGGTCATGGACTCTGGTCCGACTGCTTCGTTTGAAGCACGGACTGTTGGGTTCATGACTGAGGCTGCACACGAGAGGAAGCGGTCTAAGTTATGACTTCCGGGTTTGAATGCGACATGCCAGAGGGGCAGACAGCAATCGGACCTGTTGAGGTTATAATGGAAACTGCTAACGGGAGGGGTACTGGTCATGGTTCTCATGACCGGTAGTCAGTTGGGCAGTTTGAGGTCTGGTAGCGCCCCTTTCGGGGCTGCGATCAGTCTGAACGCCGACTAACTGAGGTCTTTACGTGGGGATCTGCGATGGTACGATTGAGAGGTTTATTTTGTTACCTTGATATCGGCCTAGTAGAATCCTTCACAAGGCGGTCAACTCTCTGTGCCTTGCGGAACTCGTGCGTTGTGGATGATGCACCTTGCTACTGGCGGAATGGACACACGCAGAGGGCGTACCTGTTTCGTCAGGAGGTGGACATCCGTAACGGCTAACTGTCGACCTGGTTTCTCTGCAGGGATACGTCGTTAGTGAGAGGAATGCTTGGAGTCGGCTCGCGTTTACGTGGATGAAGGGAGTTCCCTTTGTGGTCCTGTTTACAGGGTCACAAAGATGAGGGTCAGCAACCGGTTTTGAGGTCCGATCGGACTGGCCACCTGCGGAGCTGAGACGTACGGGGGGAGGGATTCACCTGTGAGTTCCTCCAACTAGGCAGCGGGGACTGGAAATGCTCGATCGCGCATCTCCTATCCTTGGTAGGGACAGTCGGCGGGTTTGCGCGCCCGCCGCATTGCACGTCTCTACCCTGTCTGGGGTGTGTGTCTCTTATGTGCCTGAGATACATGTCCAACCCGGTGAGGGAACTTGCCCTTCGGGGCGAGTAAAGGGGGCGAACGGAGCGGTGCATGGCCCACTGGCCGATCCCGTTCCATCGCCACTAACCCGAGTGGAGGTACATCGCTGAGTTTTAGTGGGTATGCCCTGTTTCTTATCTGGCTCTTCTTAGAGTAGGTCCACAGGGAGAGTCCCACATAACCCGTGAAACCCGCGCTGGGTGTAACGAGTATGCGTAACGCATTTCTCAGCGTCAAAAAAAAAAAAAAAGGAGGATGGGCCATGACCCTCAACGCTGGCCCAATGCGGATTGGAGGGTATTAACGACTGCAAATGCAACCGGGACCAACGGCTTAACGTGCCTTCCGAAGCACGGAGTAGCACGAGATAATAATTTTTTGGTCACCCATCCCGTGACCGACCCTTGCGAAAGTTGCTTAACGACAACGATCGCGGGCCGCGGCGCTTATCTACTACGCTACCGAGCTACTAGTAGTTATTAACTTTTTGCAGTTTAATGACAGGCATCGTTACGTATTATTTAAGTGAAAATCTTATTTAAAACCTGGAGCTTGGATTTGAATATAGTTAGTTAAAGGGTTCAATGTCGTCTCAAATCTCTGGAAATTACTACAAAATGCGATGCACCGGCCGTCACATCTCAGCATGTCAATAAGGAAATATTTAAAAAAACCATAAGTTCCCGAAATCAAACTAGATGTCGCTACGGTACTTTCTTGATTTCTCCATGACAACCCTCCCGGTTTTCTTTCACGTATAAAAGTAAATTAATTTACAAAACTCAATAAACAACTCATATTCTATTTGTACTTTTTCGTCTTTGTATTGATATCTAAGTTTTGAACTTTCAGTTTTTTAATATATTAGTTGAAAGGAACATTCGTTTCCTGTAAAAATCAACTTTTGCTAGAGTCGCCATCTAGTGGAGGTGCTTTTTTGGTGCTTTCTTTTTATTTTTAAATACTTCTAATTCTACTAATGCTTACGTGCCTTATAATAGCAGCTCGATAGAATCTCCACGTATTGCATTTTAGGGGCTGTCCATTAATCACGTGAGGCTCGAAAGGGGGGGAGGGGTCCATAAAAAAGTCACGAAATATCACAAGGGGGGAGGGGGGGGGTGAAGTAACATATCACGTGTATTTATTTTTTCGACAAACGCGCGATACTCAATCGAAAAGCGGCGTAAATAAGCGTAATAAAATTATTTTTTCGTCAAACGTCTACCTCTAGACATTATTGTACTCTTTAATTGTCTATAATACAATTAGAAAGTTAAGATTCATTGTAAGTACTAAAAATACACGTGATATATGGGGAGGGGGGGGGGGTAGTCTTAAACCTCACCATGTATCACTATGGGGGAGGGGAGGTTAAAAAATGCCAAAAAAACATCACGTGATTAATGGACGGCCCCTTATCATTGTAGTATCTACCTGAAGACCAATATTATTAGTGGTATATCTTTCTCACACATCAATGCTGACAGATAAATTATAATATTGCACTTCAGGTAGATAGTACAATGGAAAATGCAATTCGCGAGTTCGTTTGTATTTGTAATAAGGGTTCTTAACACCAAGAGATGCATTTTATTAGTTCAGATCCCCCCGTTTAGTAACAGGAATGTTTTTTATTCGTATGTGTGTTTTTTGTGTTCTATTTAATCGTTTTTTTTTTCTAGGATCTTTCTATTTTACTCGGCTTTGGAATTCTACTCGGAATGTCAATCATAGAACACAGAAAGCCACCGTGTCCTGTCATGTTAATGAAAGCATATGC